GAAACGTCTTCGGACAGCGCTGGCTCTTCGGCTTGGAAACGGAGATGAGCACCGCAACCCTAGAGTCGGACTCGACTGGCTTTCGAGCAAGGGAGACCTTTACCTTTTTTACCACGGTTCCTTTGGGTGCCTTTCGGGATCCAGCCGCAGCTCAGTCCCCGGTGCCTTGCTGACTCAGTGTTTCCTCGCCTTCGCCCCGCTTTTTCTCGGCGTCCCAATTACCTTGTCACTAATTCTGACAATTACTCAGCTCCACCTTTTGTTGGGAGAAGACAAAAGGGGGGCACACACACACCCGCGCTGGCACCCGCTCACCCCTGCCACCCACGGAGCTGTCTCTGCCTGACTCAGCGCCCCTGCAGTCAAGTCCCAAGTTCGCACACATGGGAAAACTTCCCAAACCGGGGTTGTCGCTTGGGGGGCAGTCATGGTGGTGGGGGGGGGTGTATATACACAATCGTGTCAGAATGACGTGCTCTTTTTGTGGCGTTCCTGCAGCCCTGATCAGTTCTTGCAGCGGGCACGTGCCACGGAATCAGTGTTACGAGATGTTTTCGAGGTTCCTGCTTAGCCGGTAGGGAGAATCGGGGTCTGGGTACTTACCTTTCTCCCCCTACACTGTCTCCCATTCACCAGCAGCAGCCCCCAGACCGGCATGCTTGGAAACGCCACTTGTGGATCCTGGCAAGGCTGGGAGAGCGGAAACAGCCAGGAAAGATTACACAGCCTCTATTTGCCTTGGGGCCATGTAGGAAGACAGAGGAGGGTTAACCCTTCGTCCTCCATTTCGTTTTTGCTACTTGATGCTGGGCTCCTTATTTGGTTGGTAGCACATAGAATCGTCGAGTTGGAGGGGACCTCCAGGGTCATCTAGTCCAACCCCTCGCATGATGCGGGAAATTCACAAGTACCCCCACACACACACACCCTAGGTGACCCCTGCTCCATGCCCAGTAGATGACAAAAAACCTCCAGGATCCCCAGCCAAACTGGCCTGGAGAAAATTTGCTTCCAAGGTGGCGATCGGCATTTCCCTGGGGATGTAAGGAAGGGCCACGAGAACTAAGCACTGATGCAACCCTCCCTGCCCTCCTCTCAGGATCTGCCTAAGTTCACAGGATCAGCATTGCTGGCAAATGGCCATCAAGCCCTGTTTGAAAACCTCCAAAGAAGGAGAGCCCACCACCTCCCGAGGAAGCCTGTTCCACTGAGGAACCGCTCGAACAGTCAGGAAGCTCTTCCTAATGTTTAGCCGAAAACTCTTCGGATTTAATTTCAACCCGTTGGTTCTGGTCTGACCTTCTGGGGCAACAGAAAACAACTCTGCACCATCCTCTAGATGACAGCCCTTCAAGTCCTTGAAGATGGTTATCATATCACCTCTAAGTCGTCTCCTCTCCAGGCTAAACATACCCAGCTCCTTCAACCTTTCCTTGGTCTCCAGACCCCTCACCGTCTTCGTTGCCCTCCTCTGGACACGTTCCAGCTTGTCTATATCCGTCTTAAATTGTGGTGCCCAAAACTGAACACAATCCTCTTTTTCTTTTCTTTTTTAAGTGACAGTCTTTGATACTATACCGCCTGCGGATGCTACATCTGGAGCTGTGTTTTTGTGCAATTTTTGGCTCTCCGCCATCATCTGTAGCTCTCGGATCACTCCTCTAAACACATGACGCTGCCTCATCCTGAACGAGTCCCATTGGTCCATCAGATTCAATATTGTCTACTCAGACCGACAATGGCTTTCCAGGTTCCCAAGCTGAGGTCTTTCACATCACCTACTGCCTGATCCTTTTTAGCTGGAGATGCTGGGGACTGAACCCGGGACCTTCTGCCTGCCAAGCAGAGGCTCTGCCACTGGGCCACAGCCCCTCTTTACAGCTCTCCAGTGCCTCAGGCTGAGGTCTTTCCCATCACCTGCTGCCTGGTCCTTTCAACTGGAGATGCTGGGGATTGAAAGTGGGACCTTCTGCATGCCAAGCAGAGGCTCTGCCACTGAGCCACAGCCCCTCTTTACAGCTCTCCAGGGTCTCAGGCTGAAGTCTTTCCCATCACCTGCTGCCTGGTCCTTTTAACTGGAGATGCCGGGGATTGAACCTGGGACCTTCTGCATGCCAAGCAGAGGCTCTGCCACTGAGCCACAGCCCCTCTTTACAGCTCTCCAGGGTCTCAGGCTGAAGTCTTTCCCATCACCTGCTGCCTGGTCCTTTTAACTGGAGATGCCGGGGATTGAACCTGGGACCTTCTGCATGCCAAGCAGAGGCTCTGCCACTGAGCCACGGCCCCTCCCCTGGTCCCTGCAGTTGGCCAGTATCACCTGACATAGTTGAGATCCCGAGTCCCTTTGAATCGCCGAGATGACATGCCGATTCTCTCATTGTGTACTGTTCGTCATGTCCCGTCATCATTATCTTGTCATCGCTCACGTCTTCTCAAGAAGGCGGCTTGTCACCTGCAACTCAGAACATTCCCTACGGGTAGGGGAAAGAGCTCCCACCTCTCCAATCCATTCCCTTTGCAGCTGGTCTTCTCTTCCTTTTTGACTCACTGTTTCCCCTCGAGAAAGATCTGGAACCACCGAGAGCACCAGCTCGATACTGCTTTATGTCCCAGGAGAAGACACTTGCGTTAATTGGCTCAACCAAGCCAGGCTGACGTCTGGCCTTGCGATGTGCCTGGCTCATCCAGTTTGATGCTTGTATTGTAAACTCGGGGTGGCAGAATGTGGCCGGCTTGGTGGGTGGCCATCACAAGCATTTGTCCCTCTCTGAGACGGGTGAAAAGATTGGCTTTCTCGTGATCTGGTTCTCCCGGGATCCCCAAAGGAGCCGACATTAACGAGGAAGCCTCTGAGTGACAGTAGCAGCTCTAGGCGGTGATGGCTACTACAGTTGCCTGCCGAGAAAGCCACCTTCCTGTTGTGCCTAGCTTTGCTAGAATGAGCCAGTTAGCTGTCCACACGCTCATTCACTCGACCTCCCGTAATAGCTTAGATCAGCGAGGAAGCTTGTGTTTTATTGTGTTAACTCGTCTTTTAGAAGAAACCGGGCCCAGCTGGAGGGCACACAAGCAGGCCAGTGGCTGTCCTGCACGGGCTCTGTTGTGAATGGCTTGTAGCAGCTGTCGGAATCGACAGCTGCTACAGAGGCCTTGAGCCATCTTGCCTTTGGAGGACCACCTTCATGGCTTCCTATGTAAACTAGGGGTTGCGGCTTAGCAGAGTGTCCGCTTGTAGCGGTTGTCACCCTAGCAGTGTTCCCTCTAAGTTGGGTTAGCGTGAGCCAGCTCACAGTCTTTTAGCCTCCGGCTCACAGATTTTTGTCTGAGTTTGGGAAGGATGGCTCCAGAGCAAACTTAATTTATGCAGTAGCCTAATGGCTCGCTCACAGCTTTAATGCCAGTGGCTCACAAAGTAGGATTTTTGCTCACAAGACTCCACGGCTTAGAAGGAGCATTGCACCCTAGCTCTAGTGTAGTGGTTGTGTGGACTCTAATCTGGGAGAACCGGGTTTGATTCCCCACTCCTCCACCTGCAGCTGCTGGATGACCCTGGGCAAGCCATAGTTCTGTCAGAGCTGTTCTCTCAAGAGCAGTCCTCGAAAGTGCTCTCTCAGCCCCACCTACCTCACAGGCAGTGTTCCCTCTAAGCTGAGTTAGTGTGAGCTAGCTCACAGTTTTTTAGCCTCTGGCTCACACGTTTTTGTCTTAGCTCGGGAAAGATGGCTCCAGAGCAAACTAATTTATGTAGTCGCCAAATCGCTGGCTCACAATTTTAATGCCAGTAGCGAACAAAGTAGAATTTTTGCTCACAAGACTCCACAGCTTAGAGGGAACATCGCTCACAGGGTGTCTGTTGTGGTGAGAACCAGTTTGGTGAAGGGGTTAAGTGCACGGACTCTAATCTGGGAGAACCGGGTTTGATTCCCCACTCCTCCACCTGCAGCTGCTGGATGACCCTGGGCAAGCCATAGTTCTGTCAGAGCTGTTCTCTCAAGAGCAGTCCTCGAAAGTGCTCTCTCAGCCCCACCTACCTCACAGGCAGTGTTCCCTCTAAGCTGAGTTAGTGTGAGCTAGCTCACAGTTTTTTAGCCTCTGGCTCACACGTTTTTGTCTTAGCTCGGGAAAGATGGCTCCAGAGCAAACTAATTTATGTAGTCGCCAAATCGCTGGCTCACAATTTTAATGCCAGTAGCGAACAAAGTAGAATTTTTGCTCACAAGACTCCACAGCTTAGAGGGAACATCGCTCACAAGGGTGTCTGTTGTGGTGAGAACCAGTTTGGTGAAGGGGTTAAGTGCACGGGCTCTAACCTGGGAGAGCTGGGTTTGATTCCCCACTCCTCCACATGCAGCTGCTGGATGACCTTGGGCAGGCCATAGTTCTGTCAGAGCTGTTCTCTCAAGGACCGCTCTGGAAAGAGCTCTCTCAGCCCCGCCTACCTCAGAGGGTGTCTGTTGTGGGGAGGGGAAGGGAAAGGAGTTCGTAAGCCGCTCTGAGACTCCGAGTGAAGGGCGGGGTATAAATCCAATTTCCTCTTCTTCTTCTTCTCTGCTCTCCGTCTTTGTGAACGACCACCAGCCCTTTTAGCCCTCCTGCCGGTGGTCAAAATACATTGTCGACTTAATGGAATCATGGATCAGGCTCCCTGCTTGTTCTGCATTGTGCAGAGAGGTTATTTTTGTTCTGGAAAGAGCTCTCCTGGGCCACCAGCGCGTCCCGTTCCTCTCTGTCCCCGCTGGGTCGCCCGGCATCCCAGACCACGGAAGCCCATGTCCATTAGGGATCGCCGAGCCTCACCGCATCCCGGCCCACGAGCGAGCAGGTTCGCCGCCGCAGGAGCCGTCGCCGCGCGAGAGGGGGTGGTATTTTTAGACCGCCTTCTCACGATTCTCCTCTCGGGATGCTATTTATAGAGGACGGAATTGGATTGGGGAGAAGGGGATGGAAACGCCGCGTTCTCTCCCACCTCGCTCTCCGCCGCCGGTAGCTGTCAGGGTTGGCACAAAACCCCGCGGGACCGGAGCTGGCAGGCTCGAACGCCAGGGGAGAGCTTTCACCGCGTCCTTCCAGAGCGGAGCGGGATTGTAAGCAGGAGCAAAAGACACACGCCGTTCCCCGCTCCTGGCCTATATATGGTCTGATGCAGCTTGGCATTCGGCTGCCTGCAGCTGGTGAGACCTGCCAGGGAGGTAGCGGCATACGAGGGATGCTTAATTTCAAAACAGAGAGGTCCGGGGGGG